GAAGCAGGCTGAAGATAAACTCTGCAGGACGGTGGCCATCCAGGAGCTGGATTGGACACCCCTGAACAATGAGCAACACTAATAGTGATGCTTCTGTTAGCAGCCACCACGAATCACACAAAAATCACACACCCATAAAAGCTCAGATACCACAAATGCTGAGCTTCACGGATAAGCTGGAAGTATCTCATCCCAAGAAGGAAGTGTTGAGTGATAGGGTGCACTAATCTAGGCCATGATGGGTAGAGGGGAGCTTGGGTACTTCGGCCCCTGCCGGCCCTTGCTGTTTACTTAACTTCCCCTCTTCTTCAACACCACTGCTGGTGCAGCTGGACAACCACATGGGCCAAAAAGGGGAGGTGTGTGTGTGTGTGCATTGTGTGGTAGTAGTGCCTCCACACCCAATTTAAATTCTTCTTCAACACCACTGCTGGTGCAGCTGGACAACCACATGGGCCAAAAAGGGGAGGTGTGTGTGTGTGTGTGCATTGTGTGGTAGTAGTGCCTCCACACCCAATTTAAAATTTCGCTTTATCTCCAGCCCTGACAATTAGAGCTGCCTCTATCTGTCATGGCTTCAGGCTGGGAGACATGGAGGGGCGGCTGACAGACAGGACTTTAATTAAAGTAGTCCCTTCAGCAATGACCATTTAGGCCTAGCTACCGCTAACACAGGGTGGGGAAACAGAGTGAGAGAACGTTGAGAGCTAACAGATAGCGGTAAGCGCTTCACCTCACCACAGGTTTAGATGCTGCCTACCGACTTATGTTCTAAATAAAGGCCTTAAAATGCTTTCTGAAATTAGCTTTCTCCGGGGTGTGCATGTAATTTGGTGCTGAAGTTGTGTGTCATAGTTCAGCTTAGCATACCTGAAAATACTCACAGTGAAGTGACACGAGACGTCTGTTTTTCTTCCAGGAATATGAATCATCTGTGACATGTAGGAGGTTAAGAGCTTTAGTTTGAGTAGAACATGGAACATGCCGTTTGCACGAGCTAGCATTAAAGATTGTCCCCCTCTCATGGACATAGGACTTCCTTCCTGGATATAAAAGTCACTATAACCTGGCCATTTACAACAGACAGGACCATGTCAAGCAAGATGATATTAAGTTCTCTGTTCAAGGACATAATGATAACCAACAGCTAACTCAGTGTCACTCCCCTGGACCTTGGAAACAAATGCTCAGTGCTTTGGCTATGAGCTCATATCCTACGCTCCTGGGCTTCTACAGCATGCAACGTGTGAAGTTGTTTGAAACTTCAAACGACTATCTATGAAGATACATTTTATCCTTTCGCATTTCAGAGCATTAGGATAACACAGAATTTCCATGGTTTAAGAAAACATAAAGGAATAATTCACCTGAAATAAAACTGTCATTCTCTTATGCATATATCATCCCAATACCTTATGTTTTTTTGGCCTTTTTAGAGACAGGAAAATAGAAGTGAGATGGGGGAATAAGACAGGGACGCAACCTAAATCAGACTCAAATCAGGGTCCCCATGAGCCGACAGCTTTAAGACGTCCACAAGACGTCCGGAGCATATGCACAGTCCACGGTTTCACAGCTCGGATGCGTCATTATGCAAAAAGCACACAACAATGGAAGTTTAGTAGAATTTTGAAGCTGCCCTTTTCAATACAATGAAAGTGAATAGTGACAAAGGGCTGTCAAGCTCCAAAAAAATTACAAAAAGCATACATGCATTTTTATTGTTATATTCCAAGTCCTCCGAAGTCAAATGATAACTATGTGAAAAAATATGGTGCATATTGACATTTAAAATGTGACTTTTCCCCTCACAGAAAGTTATCATATGACTTCAGAAGACTTGGAATAAAGTGCACAAGTTATACAGGTTATATGGACTACAGTTACAGCACATTTATGTTCTTTTTTCCCCCCAACTTGACAGCCCCTAGTCACCATTCACTTTCATTGTATGGAAATGATCAGCATGTTGCTACTGGTAATATGTAAATGAGATTTCCTTCATGCATATGAGAGACAGAGGAGCTCAGGGGAGTCTGGTGAGACCTTGCCTCAGTCAGCACAATCAGATGCAATTGTGAAGCAAAGGCTTTTATATATTTGTCACAAAGCCATTGATGATAATTGCTTTTGACTGTGTTAGCAGTATCCTGCTGGTCACTGGCTTCCTGCGTGCACCACACCAACTGCTGCCACTCCTGCCAGTGCTGCTGATTATGATGATGAGAGGAACGGTGGTGATGTAGATAATGATTTAAAATAGATGACACCAAGCTGACGACTCCTGGTGTGCTGCTATAAAGTGTCTTGGTTGCTAGCTTTCCCTGGAAATAGACCATTTATCTTGTCATAATTTGATAAATCCAGCAAAGTAAACCAAAAGATTGAAGGGTGATTCTTAAAAATCTATATTTTCTGCAAGCTTTTTTCAAGATAAATTTAGATGACTTTCCAAAAAAGGACACTTAGAAACTCCAAAAGGACACCAAAGAACCAAATGGTATGAGTCCATATAAGCACATATGAAAGAAAAAAAAAATCAGAATTTTACAGTATGTGTACAGTGCAACAGCAAAGAGCTTTTTTACATTTTAGAGAAGCCAAGTTGCGCTACTGAACAGGACCACATGGAGATGCCAAAAAACCCCTAAACCAACCGCCTGCTGACTGCATATATCTACTACAGTACACAGATCCATTCAGAATAACTAAACACAGCGACATAAACATGACAAATCTAAACATTATCATGAATGTGTGTGGAAACAACGTGAATATACGGAAATGTCTGTGCCTGTGCATAAATACAATGTGCGTCAAGAGCACTCATACACGCATTAATATAACGGACTCACGCATGTTTACTGTACTGTACGACTCCTGTACGCCCCCGCAATCGTCTTTACCTTGATTGCAGTCTTCATCTATCAAAACTTTACTAGCAAGACTGGTTATACAGTCGAGAAACCGTAGTTTGCGTCTCATCTGGCCATATAGCGGTGGGATGTGTTGACAATCCATTCAGTCTGTACTTCACACAGCGCTTGTGATGTGTAAGGGCTCGCGCTCTCCAGAGACAATCACAGAATATGACAGAGCTCGTGTTTTAAAGCAAAACGCACTGGAATGAATAATTCACTTAAAACGCAACGCGAGTCTCTGTTCTCTCTGCAATCTCTGATGTAATCAGCCTGGTTTCCTTTATATTAGCGCTGTTTTGGACGGATTGTTTGAATGCATTCGCGTACTGGATCATTGGACTGAAAACGTTCCTGGAGTTTAGTGGCTTAAAATTATCTAATCGTAAGCAGAGTAGCAAAATAGGGTTAAAGGGTTAGATTAGAAATTGTGCTTTAGTAATTTTGCGTTAATTGCGTTAAATTATTTTAATGCGTTATGGATTGTAAAATGAATCGCATGCGTTAACGCTTTAACGATGACAGCCCTAGTTATAATGCATCTCAGTTCACTATGGGAATGGTCTGATATATATTTTGTTGACATTTTCTCAAACACCAATAGTGCGCTGCTAGCCCCACCCACATGTGGAGAAGCAGAGTGCAGCTCAAATGCCACAAGATGTGATCAATCAGTATGCACATTTCAGCAGGGATTATAAAGATCTTTACAGAAGTTGGAGCAGAACACTAGTGGCCGTTATCTTAGTGCAAACAGAAAGGAAAATATCCCTCCCTCCATCTATTTGACAGAGAAAAGTCCCTGTAGGCAAACACAGAGGTGTTAATGGATTTTACCATGGGATGTGGGAGGGTACTGTCAGACATCATACACAGCAGCAAGATTGATAAGGAAGGGGCGGCCTCTCTGTGGGCCGTCTGGGAGTTAGCTGCTAGACAAGGGAATTGCTCTTAGATGAAGGATCAGGTTAAATGTTATGCTGTTGTCGCAGTAGTAGCTGTAGACTGTGTCCACTCTGAGACCCAAAGTGTAGGTTCACTGATTGGGGAGGCGTGACTGTTCTCACTGAGCTTATTGAAGGTGTTGGCAGTTGCCATGACAGCCAACTGAAGCAATAACATATCATCTTTCCTCCAGTGGCCACATCATACAGTCTCTCTGAAACTTGACATGAAAGTCTTTAACTCGCACCGTCAGTGGTCACATTTTAAAAGGTTAGTTCACCCAAAAACGAAAATTCTGTCACTAATTACTCGCCCTCATTTCATTCTAAACCCGTAAGACCTCTGTTCATCTTCAGAACACAAATTAAGATGTTTTTGATGAAATTCCAGAGCTTTCTGACCCTGCATAGACAACAACGCAACCACCATGGTCAAGACCCAGAAATGTAGTAAGGACTTTGTTAAAATAGTCCCTGTGACATCAGTGGTTCAACCGTAATGTTATGAAGCTATGAGAATACTTTTTGTGTGCAATGAAAACAAAAATAACGACTTTATTCAACGGTTTAATCTCTTCCGGGTCAGTCTGCCGCCATTCATGAAAGTAACATAAGTCGTTATTTTAGTTTTCTTTACGCACAAAAATGATTCTCGTAGCATTTATTTTTGTTTGCATTTATGTGCCTTTCAGCTCCAGTTCAACTCCAATCCTAATCAAATATACCTGAACCAGCTAATCATGGCATTTAAGGTAACTCGAAAGCTACAAGAAGGTATATTGGAGCAGGGTTGGAACTGAGGTCTGCAGGAAGTTACCTACCCAAGAGCAGGGTTGGCGACCTCTGACCCAGGGTGTGAGCCAGTATCTCTTGTATGTTAGAGGTGGCTAACTTCCTACAGAGTTTTGCTCCAACCCTAAATTTATTGTATATATATATATATATATATATATATATGGTATTATGTTTTAAACCTCAACAAAGCTCATGGCATATATCTTCAAAAACCCACTTCCTGTCATTTTGACACATATAACGTCAGATAGCCAAAATAAGCATGATGTGTTATATTCAAGAGTCTTTTGCAACTACAATGACGAGAAAGGGAGTGTGTAACAAGGAGAGCAGTGGTACTCACCGCAGGCACGAGTAGCTTGTTAACCTCCTCCACTGCATGCTTAAGCTTGATCTCAGCCCGGTTCTGGGCGTCCTCCACCGTGATGAGCACATGGAGGTCCTCATTCAGATGCTCCCAGTTGGGCTTGCCTCGGTTTTGTTCCTCCTGCACAGAGAGATAAGGAGAGAGAAAAGTTTTAGATGCACTGCTGCTGTACAAAATGTTGACTGCTACAATCAAGGAGGTCTATAAGAAAGTAAAGAAAGGGTCCAAATAATAGACACTTCATGCACTCAGCTGTTGCATCTTTTCCTGTGTACCAAAGGAGGAGAGACTTTAATTGATTGTAGAGAGCGCATAGTGCAGAGTATAAGTGCATAGTGTATACTGCGTTGTTTGGGACACAAACCTTGACCCTTAGGCAGCAATGTACATGTTTTAACAGAGTTGACCAGAAATATATGTGTTTGATATGATGAGGTTCAAGAAAGATGTTGGGACTTGTCTCAGCTCCCACGCTTGCTGTGGAGTTTGATACCTTGATAACACCAAAGTGCAACTGCAAATCTAATACAAGCAGACTACAACAGAGAGGATGTGAAAGTAAAAATAAAACGGAGAAGCTGCTTCTTTGATCTGCTGTGTGCTACAAAGCAGAAGTCAGGATGCCATGTATATGCCATCCTGTGAGACAGAGCTCTATAAAAGAGACCTCGTAAAATTCATACAGTCTCAAGACAGGCAGTGACAAAAGCTTCACAGCTAGCAGAGAGAAGCAACAATAGCATGAGCAACAAATCAAAACTAGATCACTGCTGAGGTGAGTCAGAGCTCAGCAGCACTCAAAGCTGATGTAAATTTATTCAGTTAATATGCTTTTAACTCAGCTTAATATACAGAGACAACTATAAGTAAGCCATTTGTATGTTGAAAAATGTAAACACTGTGAGGCGCTTTCAAAACTTTGCTCTGTTTGTTTAAGAATCTAGACCAGAAGCACACAGCAACAGCAGCTAACCAATGGAGTGAGCTTGGGGCGTGGCTATCTGTTCTGTCAGACCAATGGCAGACGGGGAGCAATAGAAGTGCTTGTGAAACCTGTTTGGAAACATTAGTAGGGCCAGTATGAGATCAGAAAGTGAACAGCCCAGCAACAGCATAGCAACTGCATAATAACCAAAGCATTGTGGTGGCAAATTTGCACAGGCAAATACCACTCATATTTTTTTTTTCAGAAAATATTCAAATCAAGCTATTTTTGCAGTTTTGTTTGGTGCAGCTAGTGGAACGGAAATATAGGGGCTTTAAAAAAAACTAAATTATATGACAGGAAACCATGAAAACTTTGGATTAAAAAGCTCTGAAGTTTGCTGAGGGCAAACAGCTTAATTGATAGAAACCCAAAGCACATTAAGTTGAAGGGGCTCGTTACACTTCGCCTACACCACCGCTTTTGTTTGTCTGCATTTGGCTTGTTTTGCTGTTTTTCTCGTTTTCCTGAAGGATTTCCAAATGAAAAATCAAGATCTGATTTATGCAATAATCAGATATGCAAACACAGCTTGTTTTTTCTCCTCGTGACTGCAAATGGGAAATTGATGGCAATCAGCGTCGGCGTCTGTGTTCCCGCGTTCTGCCTGCTGATTTTCATTAAGAATCCATTGTTGCCCCTTTTGGTATGAAGCGAGGAAGGGTGGTAACAGGGTTGCGTATCGCCAAACACACTCAATATGATTTACCATTCAGGATGGTGGTGCTCGGGTGTTAGGAGGTCACTTCCTTTTTGTCTCTATTCGCCTCTTTGGTTTCGTTTAGCTGATTTACTTGGCTTTCTTTGGTTGTGACAAGTGCTAAAAATTGATCTTCTGAGGCCACAGCCACACTGTCAATAACACTTGAAGAAAGCCAGCCAGGAGGGACCAGAGTAGAGGTGGTGTGTACATGCGTGTATGTGTCAGTCTTTCAGAGGGTAAGATACAGCTAAGACACTTGTTTTTCCCGCAGTCCAGGCAGGTTGTCTTGCATAAGGCCACGGCTGTTCCTTCTGCGGTGACAGGCTGGTAGTCAAGGTGACGCGCCTGCAATGTTCAATGCAGGAAATTTGTCAGACTGTGGGGCCCTCCACTAGGCCTTTGTTTACACCTCTTTCCCCTCGCGCACTATCTTTGAGCTGCCCGTGCCGTAGCCAAGCAGTAGTGCAATCAATGTCCATAAATCCATTGTCCTGCTCTTTTGTAATCCTTACTGAGGCAATAATGCCGCTCTGAAGGAGCGCCGACCCCTCGGTGGAAAGCTCTGGGAACTAATATCATGACTCGGCTGGGAGAGGACGAAGGTACACGCAGTGGGGAGTGTAATGAGACACGAGCTTGTTCTTCAACATATTCACCAATATATTTCACCACAGTGACCATGTTTACACACTTGTCCGATTAAGGTCTATATTCTGGTTCAGCCTTTAAAGGGATAGTTGAGACAAAAATGAAAATGAAGACTGTATTGCCTTCTTTCATTTTAAGTCCACATAAGGAGACATTAAAGGAATGTCCTGCTCGCGCTTAATGGCTGTGAATAGCAACAAGAATTAAGATGTTAAAAAAGACAGAAAAGTAGCACAGAATGATCTCATGCGACACGTGTCATATTCTCCAAATGTTCGGGGGATATACGATAGGGTTTGGTGAAAAATAAACTGGAATTTTATGTATTATTTAACCAAATTCCTAACCTTCGCCATTGGTTTCTGTGCACAGTAGTGCACTCATGAGACTCTATTAGTGCAGCAGTTCACTCCGACTCGCCCAGAAAAAGCACGTAAGTTGCAAGAATTAAGATTAAGATTAATAAAAATATAACATGAAAGAAGGGCAAACGGCATTAGAACAACAGAAGAGTGAGTAAATGATGACTTAGTTTAAATTTTTGGGTGAACTAGCAAAAGTCTGGCAATGTATGCAGCACAGCTCAAACAGAAGTCTTTGAAACAAAGCAGCTTTCTCTTGTGAATTGATGTGACCAATTTGAAAACCAATGCAAAATCTCCATGGGAAATCAATCCTAATCTTGTTGAGCTGAGATCCTATGACTGGATTTTATCCAAGAAATTCACCAAATAACAGTGTAAATGACTATACCTTTATTCCGAAAGAGCTGTTTAGGAATATTCATGTCTGCATGCGATCAGCCTTACAAACAAACATAATCAGCATGCATGGAGCAGGACATGTATGTTCTTATCAAGATTAATAAAAATATAACATGAAAGAAGGGCAAACGGCATTAGAACAACAGAAGAGTGAGTAAATGATGACTTAGTTTAAATTTTTGGGTGAACTAGCAAAAGTTTGGCAATGTATGCAGCACAGCTCAAACAGAAGTCTTTGAAACAAAGCAGCTTTCTCTTGTGAATTGATGTGACCAATTTGAAAACCAATGCAAAATCTCCATGGGAAATCAATCCTAATCTTGTTGAGCTGAAATCCTATGACTGGATTTTATCCAAGAAATTCCACCAAATAACAGTGTAAATGACTATACCTTTATTCCGAAAGAGCTGTTTAGGAATATTCATGTCTGCATGCGATCAGCCTTACAAACAAACATAATCAGCATGCATGGAGCAGGACATGTATGTTCTTTCCAGCTATTTGCTTGCTCTTGTGACTTATTTCAATTCAGTGTTAGTAGTACAGTGATTTACATCACAGTGGTTCACAGTAATTTAGTCAACTCATTAATTCTCATTCATGTCTTTGACAATAGCATACAAAAATGCAATGAGTTGTAAAATGTAGGTCATAAGACTTGCAGTGCTTTCAGCTGTCTGTATATTGATTTATATTCCTTTCTTTAAAGGCTGAAATGTGTCATTTTAATGCTAAAACAAAATGTTAAAACATCCTCATATTCCAACTTAATGTGTAGCGACAGCTATAAGTAAACCATTTGCAGTTTGATTTCCATAAAAAGTGTAACACTGTGACTCATCATAACATTGCTTTGTTTTGTCTAACATACTGTAGCAACGCTGGCTCAACCAGTAGTGTGAGTTATCTATTTGTCTGACCAATTGCAGATGGGGCAGGGAAAACCTTTTTCTCATTCTGTTTGTTAATACTAAAATAACAAAATTTAACTTTAATGTTTGTACAAAGCTCAAAAACTATTTCTTCTATAACTTTTTCACAAACACTTTAGCATTCAGCATTACTTTAGTGTTTTTAATTGACAAAGAATTCAGATTAATACTAGTACATGACAGCTGTCTTATTCAGATTTCTAGAAACCAGAATATTGGCATAACTGGTTAATGAAAATCAGTTTAACACTTAACGTTAACATAACAGCAATATGAACAAATTATGATATTTAATGTGCATGTAAACCTGGTCAGAGAGGAGTAACATTGCATGGTTCAGAGCAGGTTCATGTTTTGACGATTCAGTGATTCAGGTCAACCATGTTGATGATTAGAAACTATGAAAAATCTCCAAGGATTATTGCTGCAGGACTGACACATCTGATTTCATTATCTTGTTGGTACAATGTATACATTTCTCAAGAAAAACTCCACCAAGCAGCAGACTCTGAGAGAATACAAAACACCAGTTTGGCTGTTTCTCTCGGGATAGATTTAGGAGAATGACAGAGAGCTTTGCCCTCAAATCCAGACGATTTGGTGATTGTGTAAAAGCAAGATACACCAAAGCATCTTGTTAGAGGATTTTAAAGAACAAAGAAAAATAGGTTCACATACTTTGTTAGAGATATTTCATCAGGTTTCTTGTCAGACAAACATATAGTCCAACATTTCAGTTTATAATTGTGTTTTCATGCCAGCATTCACTTGCGTTTGTTTATCTGTGTATCTAAATTTCTGAGAAGTCCATAAGGCCTTGCTTATCACATGTCGGACATGTTTGACTGATGATGGATATGGAAGTTAGGATGAAAGCAATATGTCAAAGTATTTTCATTGCAGTATGATTTACATAATTATGTAATTGTTATCGATCAGTATTGCGACGAGAGGGGCGGGGCCGAGAGCCGTGGGAATGGAGCGAGGCCGGTGGCGTAAATGCTAATGCATGACACCTGCGCCACTCACCGGTCTCGAGTCCCACGGAGGAGCTCCGGAAGGATAAAAGGAGGAGTGACGACAGTGT